ATGGTATTTGCTCTTAAATTGGTGCTTTTTAATTTTGAAATTTTTCTAGTTTTTCGTGTGATTGATTTTATTTTGTGAAGATATGCTTGTTAGAGTGGAGTGCCTTTGAGTGTTTTGATTTTTCATGTTTCCTTAAATATTTGAATCGTCTTTATGACTTTATACACTCTCTTGATAAATTATGAAATTATGCAACACCTCGATGGCTTTTTTCATAGCAACAAAGTCTATTGCATTTTATGTCATTGCTCTTTAAAACAAAATTGTTATTTTCCTTTATTTTCTTTCTCACAATAACTATTTGGGAAAAATGTTTATACTTTTAAATGACATAATTTATATCATTTCACTCTCATAAAGAGGTGGGACCCACACCTTTATTTTTTTGTCAACTCTTTCTCCTCCTTTATCTATCTTTTTTTTTTTCTCTTAAAATGACACAACTTTATATCCTTTAAAATGACACACACTTTACCCTAACTATTTTATAACTAATTAGGAAATTGCAAGTTGTATAAATTAATTCATGATACCTTAGTGACTTACAACACCTTTATTTTAATATCAAGCAAAAGTAAAAAATGTGAATTCTAAATATATATGCAACTTGGTATTGGTTTATGATTCTCAAAGTGTTATTGAAGACAGTGGGTGATATTATCTCACTAATAGATTTGAACCCATGTATAAAGCAGAGGAGGTAGATGATCAGAATTATAACTGTGTAATTAAAAATATTAAAAACAGACTTACTTGTCAGTGGCAGAATGATGAAACAGACAGAATGAAAGGATGAATATATGCAGTATCAGAGGAATTAAATCCGAGCCCACAGAACGTGTCTCCTTAAGACAATTTGCCCCCTCACTGATGCCTAAGGTTGATGGACATTTGTCTCCCAGGATAGAACGAATTTCGTCTGAAGAATGGTGGCACTACCAACCAACAGCCCAAACGAACACAACAAAATGCCAGAGGAAGTCACACCGGAGGATGAACAACAGTATGCAAAACCGGAAGAAGAAAAATTCCGGCAGAGTTTAAGTGCAGAAAAAACTGGATAGATTTCTGAAGGTGTCAGTGTCTATTTATAGACACTGACCGGTCACGATGAACAGTCGCCGGCGGCGAACCGCCGTGTCTGATGGCGGCGAACGGGTGCGACCGGTGACTGTTCCGACGAACAGATACGACCGGTGACCGGTTCAGCGAGCAGACACAATCGGTGACTGGTTCACGAAGGGAAAGAACCGGTTCGGTTCAATACTGCTCAAAAAACCGGCGGGTAGAAACGTTTTGGTTAGAGTGGAGTGCCTTTGAGTGTTTTGATTTTTCATGTTTCCTTAAATATTTGAATCGTCTTTATGACTTTATACACTCTCTTGATAAATTATGAAATTATGCAACACCTCGATGGCTTTTTTCATAGCAACAAAGTCTATTGCATTTTATGTCATTGCTCTTTAAAACAAAATTGTTATTTTCCTTTTTTTTCTTTCTCACAATAACTATTTGGGAAAAATGTTTATACTTTTAAATGACATAACTTATATTATTTCACTCTCATAAAGAGGTGGGACCCACACCTTTATTTTTTTGTCAACTCTTTCTCCTCCTTTATCTATCTCTTTTTTTTTTTCTCTTAAAATGACACAACTTTATATCCTTTAAAATGACACACACTTTACCCTAACTATTTTATAACTAATTAGGAAATTGCAAGTTGTATAAATTAATTCATGATAGCTTAGTGACTTACAACACCTTTATTTTAATATCAAGCAAAAGTAAAAAATGTGAATTCTAAAGATATATGCAACTTGGTATTGGTTTATGATTCTCAAAGACCAGTGTAGGGATCCCTCGTATATAAAATAAATAAATAATAACTTTCATCTCAAAGACCATTACTTATTATGCTGTGGGAAAAGTGTGATTCTTTTGTTTGAAATGCTTGCCGGAAAGGTTAGTGTTTTTTATATGTTTGCTTTGATATATAATAATTGGCTATTATTTATTTAAATTTTCAATGTTATGTGACATTATTTAGTAAATAATTTAAATAAATATGCAAGAATTCATGGTAATTTTTTTTCCTAATAGATTTGTGTAATTACGATAAATGTTTTGATAATTTGATGTGTTAAATTTTTTAGCCCCAGCTAAAATGACATCTTGACTCCGCCACTTGAAACAAGCAATTAATGATTCAAGTATAAAAGAGCTGATACATTTTGCTATTATACATGTTCATCATATTAACTTTAAGATAAAATATAATTACTTTGAAGAAAAAATTACTGAAGGACCATAATTATAAAACATTAAACTGAAACAACAAGATGATGGAAATCACTTATACTGAAAGTCTGAAACATATATTTAATTTTAGGGTTTTATAAGAGTTATGTTGTAGGAAAAGTAATTGTGTAATGTTATAGAAATTCGTTTTGCGTGCCTTAATTTTTTTATTTTTTATTTACTTTAAAGAATGTAGACCCCACAAAATGTTGTATGTGTAGAAAAAAATTTGGTGTCGTGTGACATGATAGATGCAAATCTCTTAATTTTATATGTTGTATGTTAGAACAGAGTTTATCATATTTACTTTTTTATGAAATATAATAATTTTGAAGGAAAAAATAAAGCAAATGCATAAAATTATGTAAAATATTAAAGTGAAACAATGTGTATAAGGCTTGAAAATGATAATTCCGTTCCTTTTTGGATGAAAGAGTAATCCGGTAATCCGTTTCATAGAACAACCGATTAATGCTAGAAATATAAATGATTTCATTTTATTTTATTTTATTTTGTACGATAAAAGAATTTATAGATTGTGATATACGAAAAAAGTTAATATGGACCGGGTGCACCTTCATTCAATGTGTTCCATTTTTTCAAATAAAATTTTTTTTATGACACTTTTATCCTTATCATTTTACTTATTTCCTTTCATGTCCTAATTTTTTTTCTAGTTTTGGAAAAAGGTGCAGTGCACGGGATCATATTAACTTTTCTCCTGATATACGTTGTAAAAGAGATTATCATATTCACTTTATGATGAAATATTATTGATTTGAAAAACATAACTAGAAAAAGAACAAAAATATAAAATATCAAAGTGAAACAGCAATATAGCAAACTCTTTTTGTGTTTATAGGAGAACCTAGAAATAGGAATTGCCATAATTTTTAGCTTAAAGGTAATTTATATTACAAGTAATTTTGCTTTTTCTTTTTTAAAAATACAATTTGTTGTATGCTATATAAAAGTTCAAGGTATTTACTCGATGATGAAATATAATTAATTAGAAGAAAAGGAAAAATATTTAAATATAAAATAATAAAATGAAACAATAACATGGCAAGGATTTATCAGTGTACAAGTCTTACAAATATTCCATTTCCTTTTAGCTAGTTGTATATATATATTATACTAAGATTAGTATAATTAATTATATAAAATTAATTATTATAATAATTACTTTGACTTGGTTTTCCCTCTATATGACTAGAGAATTTATAAAGTAAAGAAGTATAACAAAATTAAAATTAACTCGATGTTGTATGAATATATTTTCTATTTTATTTGGATAGTTTGTAAAATAGAAAAAATGGAACCCCCGACACCCTGGTTCGTAGCCACGTGCTCTAATCCTCTGAGCTAAAGGCCCCACCCCGTCTCCACAGGATTTGTTCTCCGGAGTACCTAGAGTAGCTGTTAATACACATAACATAAACTCTATTATAGTCATTTTTGTACATTCAATGTACTCTACGGATAGAGGAATACATAGAGTTGAACATAGTACAATAAGAAATTAAAAGATTTCGTTGAAATTGTTCCTTTGGAATGAAAGTTACTTTTTTTTGTAAACAAAAAAAAAAAATTAACGATAGTAAATGATGGTAACTTAATTGGTACAGCATGCATGAGTGTCAAATAGGTAGTGAAAGAATTTCGGCTCGATTCCATTAATATCACTTTTGAAAATAACAAAATTTTAATCTCCAAGTTCTCCCGTACTCAAGATTAGTTTCATAATTGATTCAAAGAACTCAAACTTATAAAAATATTCGGAAAATCTATTTACCTCAAAAAGTATAATTAGGATTAATATAAAAAAAAAAAAAAATTAACGTTGCCTTAAAGGAAAGGAAGTAAAAGGAAAAAACGTATTGAACATTCCTTTTCCAGTTAATTACTTTTTTCGTCAATTTTCAGCTATTCTTTATCTCTTCACGGAATCAATTAACTATTTAAATGTTTGACAATTAGTAAATACATAAATATACATATAGAAATATATGAGTAAAATATTTCTCCAATATAAATTATTTTCAATTACTTCTAAAACTACGTCGTTTTAAATTAATAAAAAGTGTTTTTATAATTTAGGTTAATTAATAAAGGATATTTTGATGAAATTCATATAATAAAAGAATATATAAAATTATAAAAACATTATTCATTAATTCAAAACAACATAGTTTTGAAAATCACTCAAAATAACTTATTTTCAGTAGCTAAAAAAATATTTTAGCCTTAAAATAATGCAATTGAGGCTCACTAGCACCCTAAACTAAAGCTAATGCAATTTAGGATATATTTGATTGTGTATTTTTTTTCCTGAAAACTATTTTTAGAATAATTAATGACATATGTGTTTTTTGTATTACTTTTTAAAGTTAAAAATCAAAATACACAAAAAAATAATTCTTGTTCTTTAAATTTGATTCTAAAAATTAAAAAATAATTATAATTTTTAAAATTATTTTTTTGTAAAATAGGCCTTATCAAATAAGTCTTTTAATTTTTTTTAAATCAAAAAAACCAAATTTAAACATGATCTTTTTTTTCTTTTTTTTTTGGAAAACGATTTTTATTTTTCTTCGATTTTGAAGATTACAAACAAAACAAGCATTTACAAACCTACAACGTGTGCGTAAAGAGAGCGAAAGGCGCTATTCTTCCTCGCATTCCGGAGTGCAAAGCACAGATAATTGAATTGCAATAAAGAAGCCACTGAAAAAACACGACGGAGGGGTAGTTTGGTCATTCCACGTCCCAACACGTTATAGCCCCCAACCACAACCTAGCCCACAGTTTCACACCACACTTCTTCGATTTTGGTTTTTGTTCCCTCTCAACAACAATGGCAGATGTCACCTACCTCCGCCACCACGACACCGACGACGACCCTCACCCTCACCTTCCCGACCAAACCCTAATTCCCTTACCCTACCGTTCCCCTCACGATTTCGATTTCGATTTCGATTTCGACTTCGACTTCGATTTATACGCTTCCGATCCCGAATTTCCGCCGAACCGTGCTGACCACCACTTCTCCATGATGGAACGCGAAAACCAGGTGAATTTCGTTATGGATCTTTTTCATCAGCGCGTTGAGCAATCTCAGGTAATGGGTCACACCGATCCTGTCTCACAACCCCTAAACGACGCCGCTTCTGGTTTCGGACTTGATTTAGGGTTTGCCGTTGACGACGTTGACGGCGATGATTTCTTCTTTGGGAGGAGGGTTTCCGGATCTGAATCCGGCGAGGCACCCTTTGATAACTGCGTTCGCCTCGTGGGGTTTGGATCGGAATCTGATGAGGAAGAAGGGAATGGGGTTTTCGGGATCTGCTTGCATTCGGATGAAGAGTATAACGAAAACGACGACGTTTCGAGCATCCCTCTCTGTTGGGATTCGCTTCATTTGGACAACAACGAAGATTTTGAGTGGGAAGAAGTTGATGGTCGAGTTGATGAGAGGGATATCTTGAGCATGCTCACTGTTGAGGATGATAGGTCAGTTTCTGTTTCCGTTTCTGCAATAGCTGGAATTGAAGAACAAGAAGGAGAAGAAGAAGAAGAAGAAGGAATGAACGTTGTGAGGGTGGAAGGAGGAGGCATGGATAATAATTTGGAATGGCAAGTGTTGTTGAATGCCAACAATTTGGACACAGTTCATGACTTGGAGCCTTATTTTGGTGAACATGATGATTATATTTACACTGGAGAGTATGAGATGATGTTTGGTCAATTTGCTGAGAGCAATGAGAGTCCCTTAATTGCTACCCTTCCTGCTTCTGCATCCGTTGTTCAGAACCTTCCATCAGTGATTGTGACCAAAGAAGATGTGGATAACAACAATGCACTCTGTGCTGTTTGCAAAGATGACTTTGCTGTTGGGGAAAAAGCAATGAGGTTGCCGTGTTCGCATCGCTACCACCGTGATTGCATTGTGCCTTGGTTGGGCATTCGGAATACCTGCCCTGTCTGTCGTTATGAGTTCCCCACCCATGATGTCAAGTCACATATATTTGATTATTAGGTTCAGATGTGATTTCACAATTTCTCAGCGTTAGGCTGTTGAATTGAAACAATAGATTTTTTGGTCATGAAGAAATGCATGTGTTTGTTTTACTTTTTTTCCTTCAAATTTTCACATGGACATATAAGTATAAGAATGTTTCTCTTCCAATTGTACTTTGGAATACATCATAGAAATGAATCAAATTTCCAAAAAATATTCATTTGTTGTGCTTTTTGAATGTTAGTATGTTACTGTTCTTATAGATTGCTATCTTGTATCTTTTTTTCTTCACGTGCATATTGGAACCCTGTGAAGTGTAAGCAGGTCCCTGTGACAACCTGAATGGTTGATGAACTCGATTAGTAGTAACCATGATCTTTTCCACAACGGAGTGGAGGAAGTCTTTTTTTTTTTGGAAAAGAAAAACAGCTTGCCAACGGTTATTCTTTAATCATAGGATTCAGGACTTGAAAGCGTTTCATATCTCAATAGACGCATTGACCAACTTTGCCATTTAGCTCTCTGCTTCTGTTCTGGTCTGTTATTTACTAGTGGCTTATGTTGCCTTATCTTTTTATCATGTCTTTGTGGTGGCTTTTGTGCCTTTTAGGGAAAAAAAACTCACCTGGTTCTCTTTTTTGGTTGGATTGTGTTTTCTTGACTTGTCCTTATAGTACTAAGGTTTGACAATCAGAGTTCAGCAATGTGGCGTCCTTTTGTAATTAGACTAGACAGGGTGAGATTACTATACCTCGTTCACTTAATTATATAATTAGCATTTTCTTTTGACTCTCATAATAGGAATTCTAGTTACATATATACTCAAATGTTTGGTGCAGTTGCCTGATAATGGAATAATGAGGGAATACGAAGATTATATTTTTGTGAGTTGCTTGAAATCTGATATTTGTTGTGGAAAATGTTGTTTTGGTTGATGGTCAAGTAAAACTATTTGTTTAATTAACAAAGGAGAAGAATAATTGAGATTAGAATTAGGAATGGAAATGACAGTAAACACAGGGTAGCCACAATATACATTCCTTATGTTTTGCTGTTGTGTTTTGCAAACTATTATTTTTCTAAATGCTGCTCATTTTGCAGCTTCAAGCAGATTATTAATGTGGGTAACATATAATGTTACCCTTTGTTTTATCTGATTAAGTTGACTAACGGAAAACATAAAACCTGATCTTCATTAACACTATCAGAAAATTCCCTGTTCTATTAGTCTATCTGATAAGAGACGATTGTATTGTTGCTGGTATCTGCTGCTACGAATTGCATGAGTTAAAGATGATGACGCAAGGAAAGTTACTGATTCAAGACAGGTGTGTCAAATACTGGTGATTTACTGTGGAAGAGATTCCCTATCACAGGCAATATTAAACTTTAGATTAGTATCTATACTTTATACGCAATGAAAGGGAAGTAAAGACCTTTTTAATAGGGGCTCTGCCCCTCTGTTGTAACCCAAAAAAAAAAGCTTTTTAATAAAAAGGGCAAATACGTTTTGCATACGTATAAACCTTAGCATATATAATCCGTTTAAGTTAATGTCTCATCGTCATCGCCCACCAGGAAAAGATAGAAGTTTTATGATAAGAGAGTCCTTGGAGAAGCTAAAAATGCGAATTATTTCCTTTTCCTCATGACATCTGGCATTTTATTTAGTTTAGAACGTGAAACTACTGCACATAACGTCTTCATTTTTGGAATATATCCTTAAATAACAATAATTCTAATGTACCCGGATCAAAACGGGACGGTCCGACCAGTAAATCAGGAAACCGGATCCCCGATTTGTTTTGCTTATGTTTGTGCATTCGACTCAGTAGAAACAGGTAAAATGGCCCATCAACTGGGTTCAACCGGTGCCAGTTTTCAATTCAGACCGGATTTTTTTATTTTTTATGCAAAACATTGAAAGAGTTGCACTCATGACTCATGAGGGATCGAACCTTGACAACTTCAACTTTACTACAGAGGCAATGCATTTTGTTATACATAATATTCATATTATTATTTTTAGTAAAAAAGTTTATATAAATTTAATTTTAATTTGACCAGTGACCTTTTAACCTAATACCAAAATTGAGTCAATTACCGATCTGAACTTAAAAACATTGCTCTAATGCATTAATAACCTCGGGTTAAGCGAGCTTTTCTTCAGTTTGTTCTTAGGATTGAATCCTAAAGTTAGCTTGAAATAGATGTAGTTAAAGCGCATTGCCATTTATTTCTTGGGCAGAATTGTATAATTACGACCATAAATAGAAAAAAGAAATGCATATATAGAGTCACCAAGCCAGCATTTTATTGAATTGGGTATGCGGCTAAGCACTTTTTTTGGCTTGGAGAGTCACTGAATTTGTTCCTTTATACCATGTTTTAGGCAAACTTAGTCAAAAAGTAAATGGCATTTCCTTCACAGCTTTAAAACCACCTTAACTTTTCAATTTTCTTGAGTCTCTATGTCAATTATTCCCCGACCATTTTGCAAATGAAAGTTATCTAACCATTATTTTTTTATTAATCTTGATCACATTCGGATTCTTAACTTTCCTAGTTTACAGAACCAAGATTATCCACGGCACTGAACATATCTAAAAGTACATCAGCAAAATTAAATGCCAAGAGGAGTCCTTATCTACTTGTGTTTAATTTGCATTAACTATCTCATTCTCATCTATGAAAACTCTAAGCCTATTAATTCCTGCTCTCTCCCTCTCTCTCTATGTGTTGAGACATCAAACATGGAAAGCCATAAAACTGAAGAACTCCATGGAGTACCTTATGCTTCCTCAACACAGTACCATCACTATCGTTCTCCAACTCAGAAACCACCCATCTTGACCTCAAACCTTTTGAACATGGAAACTGATGAAGGCCATACTTTGAACCCTTTGGATCAATCTCATGGTTTACATCATATTCCATTTTACTACTCCCAATTACACCTTCCTAGCAACAACAACAGTCCACTTCAAATCCCAGTTCATAAATCCTCTCCCAACACATCATCAAACAGTAACAACAACAATTCTGATGAAGCAAAGGCTCTACTTGATGACAGAAAGAATAAAAGGATGTTCTCCAACAGAGAATCTGCACGCAGGTCACGAATGCGAAAGAAGCAACAAATTGAAGTACTACAGTATCACGTTGATCATTTGCAGACATTGAACCATCAAATGTCACAAAAGATCATTTACTTGTTGGAATGTAACCAACAAATCCAACAACAGAATGCTCAACTTAAAGAGAAAGTTTCATCTCTCCAATTAGCTCTCTCTGACTTGTTAGTTCCTGGTGGAAATCCTGGGCAACCTCATCAAATCCCCAACACTGGCTTCCTAGCCGAGCCTTCAACTCGACCATTTCCAAGTTCCAGAACATAGCGATGGTACATAAAAATTTCATAATAGAGTAAACATCCTTTTTGGTCCCTGGCAATATCTACGATATACTTTTTAGTCCCTGACAATAAAAAAGGACCAAATTGGTCCCTAAAAGTATGAAAAAAGAGTCACGTTAGTGACGGAAGAGTTGACATAAGGACTAACGTGACCCTTTTTTCATAATTTTAGGGACCAATTTGGTCCTTTTTTATTGCCAGGGACTAAAAAGGATTTCGTAAATATTTCCAGGACCAAAAGGGCGTTTATTTTTCATAATATGTGTGCTCTAAGAACACTTATTTTTTTAATTTATATCTTTTTTTTTATCTTTAATGATACATTCTGGGTGCAGTATAAGCATTTGAGAAGTGAAGCTGTGGTCAATTTCAGTGATGCAATCCTAGAAATTTAGCTGAGGTAAATATTGAACTTTCAAGTGTAGGAATAATCATGCAGTATCAGAGATGTGACTTGTGAGCTAGAGAGGTGGTGCACATTGTGTAATAAGCCAAATTAAAATACTAGTGGTCCAATGCTACGTCTTGTAATATGATCTTGATTAGATATCCTACTATGGGATTATCATATATACTATACAGAGTTTCTATTGAATGGATAATCCAGTTCTCTTTAGTTTTATGCAGACTTTACCTCTCTTCAACTTATAAAAGACAAAAATATACTCTATCAGTCTATGAAATAAATAAAGTTTATTTTGTCTCCATGGGAAGAACCCAAACTTTGACAACGCACGGTTTGAAATTTTATCTTTATTATTCTTAAAAATCAATGGAATACATACTAATAAAAGTTGACAATTTTTTTTACTCGAGAATCATGATTATTAATAACATGATGGAAAAATGAATTTGAATGTGATCAAAATTCTATTTGTTAGGCAAAAATATTATTGAAAATATTGGCTCAAGTTTACACGTTTAGTTGATTGTTAAATATTATCAAATTTATCCAACATCCGAGATTCCAAGAATACCATCCTGGTGGTATTTTGTATGTCATTTCGCTATTCAATTTGTTTACGAATCAGAATCCTGAGAAAATTTTCAAAAACCTTCTATCAAATATGGGTAAATAGAATTTCTCTAATGAATCCAAAAATAATCTATGTACCAAACGCCCCCTAAGGGGGAGATTTGGTAGGAGGTAAAAAAAAAATTCTTAGGAAATTGGGTTAGGGAAAATTATTTACCTATATTTGATAGTAGGTAAAATAAAAATTTGGCTTGGAATTTTTTTTTTCCATCAGTTTGCTTTTGTATGTAAAATGGTTGAAGAAAATTATCATTGAAGGGGTGAAATTGTTTTTTTTCCCATGTGATGAGAAAAGTAACACACAACATCAATAAATTAACTCAACATTTTCAGAAAATTTTTGACCTACCAAACATCTTTTAGTAATTTATCCAAGAAAAAAAAAATTCCATTATATTTCCAAAAATTATTTGTCTTGTAAAAAAATTTCTCCTCTACCAAACACCCCTGTTAATACAAATTAGCACTTCTGATTTGTTTTTGGAATAAAAATTTCTCGTTCCCAAATTTCCCATTGTGCAAGAGATACGGATGAATGAGATGTTCTCTCATGGGTATGGGCTTCACAGCGGATTCCATCAAGTGAAGATCTAGTACATGGAATGATAAACTTATTCAGTATAAATTTAGTGGATTATGTTTCTCATGTTACATCAGATAAATTTATCTCATGTAATACAAAAAAATTTAAATAAGATCCATTAAGAAAAAGAAAAAAATTAAAAAATAAAATTCATCTATTTTTTATGTGTTGTATGACACAAAATTATTTTATGTAACATGAAGAACATGTTTCCATAAATTTAACAAGTCTTATATTCATTACTATCTGTTGCTCACGTGTGGCTAATAATAAATATACAAGACTTACATAAGTATAAATTGATAGTGTCCCCATATATATATGGGAAAAACTACTCTTATGTTGCATAAGAGTAGTTTTATCTCCTACACACTTATTGAAAATCGTGACATTCATTTTTCTTTTTTTTCTTTTTTCTTTAAATGGCGGGCCCCGCCACTATGTGTCACAACATGAGAGAAAATCTCTCCTTCAACATAAGATTAAATGAACCCTATATATATATATATATGAGGCAGGATCCTTTGACACCGGTGTCAAATTTGAAGTTTGACACCTCAGCTGAGAGTCGTTAGATCAAAAAAGATCAATGGTATCACATACTTGCAAATCAGAGTCGTTGATCTTTTTTGATCTAACGACTCTCAGCTGAGGTGTCAAAGGATCCTGCCTCATATATATATAGGGATAGGATCATTTGACATCGGTGTCAAACTTTGAAATTTGACACCAAATCCTATTCGTTGATTTACGCCAATCAACGGTTATCATTTATTGAGAATTAATATTAATTAATAAGTTTGATTACCATTAAATGATAACCGTTGATTGGCGAAAATCAACGGATAAGATTTGGTGTCAAATTTTAAATTTTGACACCGATGTCAAAGGATCCTGTCTTTTATATATATATATAATTATATACATATATATACATATAGGGGCAGGATATTCTTACACCGGTGTAAGAGTTAGAAGTCTTACACTCAATCTTGATCGTTGATTCACTTGTATCCAATGGCTCACATTACTAAAAAACTTGAGCCGTTAGATATAAGTGGAATCAATGGTCAATATTGAGAGTGTAACTTATACTGGTGTAAAATGATCCTGACCCATATATATATATATATATATATATAATTATACGGAACTGAGGTAATCTTTTATTAATGCCAACATGGGGTTAGCGTATGGATATCCTTCCAATTTCTGAAACATGATTCCGTCCATCCGTGCTTGAACTCCATCAGAAAATGTCAAGTCCTGTAGTAGTTCCTTCAACGTTCTGTCCACTCCAACGAGAGAATTACCTAGACCACTTAAAATCTCAGGTAGAGTAGGGCTAGGTCTTGAGAGCTCCACAACAGTAACCTGGCATAGCTCAAGCACAGTCACCATGTGAAACATGAAATTCTCAAAATATAAGCAAATACAACGTCAAAACAAAGGTATTCATTCTCAAACCAACCTGTCTGTCTTGAGGTATATTGGCCTTCAATTTTGCTATGGCAATAGCTCTAGAAAGCCCACCAATAGCATCAACCAAACCATGTGAAGCAGCGTCCTTACCAGTCCAAACCCTCCCTTGTGCAACCTCTTCCATCTTGTCTACCTGCCACAGAATAATTGCGGTAACTTAGATTTACAAGGAGGATGAACAAAGCATGGGAAATAGCTTATTAAATTTAAAACATACAGTCATTGATCGGGAAAGAGCTGCCTTATCTCGAAATTGTTTATAAACATGCTGTGCATACTTGGCAAATAGCTCTGCTTCATCTGGCCTGTACCCAAAAGAGAGAGAGAATGATCATATTTGTCTGCCCCATAAATCAAAAAGGCATTCATGACAACCAAAAAGCAATTAAAATATAAATGACTGCAAAAGCCAGGCATTCATGACAAACAGGATATATAAGCCCTAGATAACAGTCACCACAAGCATTGGTAAAATTATATTCCTATACTGCAAGCCCTGGGCCCCTTAAGGTGATCCTGTAGCGCCTAGAGAGTGAAGACAGTAAGATTGTACCCAAACGGGGTTAAATGACAGAATTTAAACTGGATTTTCAAATACTGCAGCGAAAATTGAATTTCACTATCAGCCTATTAGAACTGAACTGGAGACTATAAAGACAGAAACATTTAGTCATCCCTTCTCAAACAGAAAGTACCTGACAGTTAGATATCAGATGGCACAGTACACTGGTTAGTATTCTCTCCAGCTCCACTAGAATCTTTATAACTGAAAAAGAACAAAATTCTGTTACCTAAAAGAACGCTGTTCAGCTGCAACGAGCTCAGCATATCTACCCTTTGATATAATTTCTTTGTTGAAGCCAATCTTCTCATAAAGTTTCCCAAGGTTAAGTTTACCTACAAAAATATGTTACACCATCAAATTATTAGATTACAAAACCCAATGACAATATATGGAATCCTGACTGTTCACGACATTACAATGTCTTTCCTCATTATTTCAGAGCTCAAATGATTACTTTCTTTTCAGCTACAGTTTCCATTGGTTGCATTTAATTACCATTCAAATGATATCTCAAACTGCTATATTTTTTTTTATCAAAAGAAGTCCAAAACCCTATATTTTATGGGACAGGATCCGTTTACAAACTTTTTTTGCAATTACACTAATGTAGGACCAGTCGTACACTGTGTGATTAATGTAGGACCAGTCCTACATAGTGTAGTTTGTAAGAGTTTGTAAACAAAAAAGTTTGTAAATATAACCTGCCCCATATTTTATTACTGTATTGACACAAAACTTATACAGTGAAAATGGTTAATATCAAGTATAATAAAGACCATTATTTACATCTTTTATTAACACAAGACAAGCCAATCTTATGGATGAAGAGATTTACACCCATACACAAGTTGAATATATCAGTCATTGGTATTCTGCTGTATCTATTGAAGGCAAATTTTATCCTGCATTTGTTATGTAAAAGCTTGTTGATCAGAAGGTTTTCCTGTGCATGGAGACTTAACAGAAATCAGCAGACTGTAAATTCATGCATATCTCCTCTTCTATTAAAGTTGATTTTGAAGACAACAAGACTAGAGCTGGAGAAATTTCAATCAACATCAACATCAACATCAACAACACCTTTATCCCAAATTAATTGGGGTCGGTGGTAGATGAACCCACATGAAAGATACAAAACGGTTGAAAAAAAAGTAAAAAAAATAAATAAAAAAAAATAAAAATAAATAAAAAATAAATAAATAAATAAATTAAGAAATAAATAAAAATACACAAATAAAATAATAAAATAAAATAAAATAAAATAAAAATATATGTATATATAAATAAATAAAAGTAAAAAAGAACAATAGCTACAAAACCACAACAATCAGTAAGGAACATCTAGTGAGATCTTCTGCACCTATCTAAAGCTGTGGGGGGGAAAAAAGAGACTGATTTTAGCTTAGTTCCTGCCTGAACTAAGAGTTTCCTAAATTGAGCAAATAACAACTAGGTTCTAACACATATGGGATCATCTGTTTCAAATATACCAGCATGAGTACGTTGATTTGTAATAAATCTATATTATTAGTTTCAGTTAAGTTGCCATCCATGCATGCTCTTCTCCTTTCTCCTACTGAAACACCCAGGTTTACCTGTGACCACTCCAATTGAACCAGTTAAGGTAAGACTTTCTGCAACAATAGCTCCTGCTCCCATTGCCATGTAGTACCCTCCACTTGCTGCCACATCAGACATGGAAGCAATGACCGGTTTTGAGGCAGCCAGAAGTCTGATTTCTCTCCACATCCTGCACATCATGACGTGACACCATAACTTTATCAGCTAAACATGCAAATTCACCAAAACATTTAGCATCACAATTCCATCACAAAGATCACCGACATATTTCAAAGTTAACCAGACCATTTAGGCTATATTAACTCCCCTCAAATCTAAAAGTAGCACATGAAAAAAGTTTTTCAGAAAATTCAATGCAGTACAGGTTCTCACAAAGTATTATTGCCATGGTATAGATTTTTATCAGACCAACCATTTCTTGTACGTCATATTAACAGACAATGCATTTTGAACAGAGGGGAGTTTACTAGCACTTACAAATCAGAAGCAAGAGCATCACCTCCAGGACTGTCAATTCGGATAATAGCAGCCTTATATTTTTTTGACTCTGAGGACAAAAAGAAGGCTCAGTATGACCAAGACAGAAACAATGGAACATATATAATGAGCAAAAAGAAACAAAGCATAATAATACTGTCAGCGACTTCAGGAAGGGCAAAACAGCATTATAGATGAACAATGAAAACAAATGCTATCCCTTTGATATGGTCCTACAAGCAAATAGACCAGTTGCATGTTGCTGTTTATTACCTAAATGAACAGAAGTAACCCCACTTCTTACAACCTGGAACTAAAGGATGAAGATCTCTGCAAGCCATATATGTTTATTTCTTTTCTCCAATTTCCTATGGCAGACAGGTTTCTGTCAAATCTATACCTCAGACTTGGGAAGAAAACCATACCTCCAAAGGCCCATCGTTAGTTGTAAAAGCTTAAAAAAGTGTAATCCCTGAGCTTGTTCTTGCAGCTTCTTTTCTACAATTCACTTCCTTTTACATTTGTCAAAGTCTTGAGAGGGAAACCTTATTTCTAAAGGTCCATGTTTAGCTGAAAAAGCTTAAAACAAGTGCAATACCTTCGCTTCCCATCGGTTTTAGTGACAACAGTGAATAATAAAACTCTAATAGGACAAAGTCAAAGATAGCTATGATGCTGCATTATTGAACACTGCCATACCAATGCAAAAGCCTCATAACATTCCATTAATTATGTCCCAATTTCACTTAGCCTCGTGATTTGAAGATTAAAGGTAAATTTATAAGATCAAGTGTACCTCTAACACTGCGAATCTTCTCAATGAACTTCTCTCCAATGATACCTGAGCCACGGACACTTAATGGACTCTCAACACGACGAATGCTCCCTGAGGCTCGAATGATGGCTATCAGTTGTTTACCACCTGATATTCCAATAGTCCATTTCCTAACTCTAGAGTATCTTCTGTATTTGAGGAAAGAAAATATCTGTATATAGTTAATATGAGTTATTTGGCATGTCTTAATTTATCAAAAAAATGCGTCTACTTGTTATAAAGTCTGTTACAAAACTGTACTTTACATAAATATCTCACAAGTCATGAGAACTAAAAGGTTCTATCTGTAAGGGTTCATGTCGTGAACTCTAGAAAAACACAAAAATATACATACCAATACTATTTTTTTTTTCTTTTTACAAAAAAAAGAGAGAGTCCATGAGCATTCATAATCATTTCTAAGATCACAGAAAACCCCAAACAGAAATGTAAATAATTTTCATTTTCGTGTTAAAAACAATTCTTAATTATTCATAGCATCTACAATTGATCTCCGACCTCAAAAGATCATACAGGCTTGTCAAACATCCATGTGAAAGTTGAAGATTCTTTCAATCTCACAAGTACTCTTAAAAATAAGCATAGCCCATGCTAATGTATGAGTTTAATTTTGATGCATTGTCAGTGTGAAAATGTTTTACACCAACCTCCAATGATATTTTCCCACATCATTTGATAAGTTTAATATCTCATGTTTGATAACATAGTCAAGCTCATAAATGATGTGGCAATACATTGTTGGATGCAAGTGTAAAACATTTTTAAAGTGTATGTATCTAATTTAAATTCTACATATATTTGCTTGAATCAAGAGAGTCAGAGACCAAATCATCATCGCCAGACAATGAATTTGTAGACATTTTGAAAGTTAACTTTTATCTAATATGAAGAAATAACATATTACAATATAAAACCATAGTGCATTCTTTAATGCCCTAGAAAAGAGAAGAGAAGGAGGGGCGCGGGGGGGGGGGGTGGACATACCTGAAATCAACCATAGGTAGATTTTGATCTGTTTTCACTCCAAGTCTCTCCTTCAACCTGGCAATAACCTGCAAAACATTTACTGTTTCTTATCCTTTCAAGTTTTAACCCCCATTGATAGTATCCTTCAAAACTAACCAGTATGGATTATCAATACATATGAATGAAATAGGCTCTACAAGTTAGTTGAATAAGTAAGTAAATAAATAAAACCAACACACTCCTAAGGAGCCAGACAAAACTCTTTTTCAGAATATTTGCATTTAAATTTGTATCCACCACTAGCCACTAGATGAGTTTCCATCGTACTCTCTCAATATGATTATATTAAACATGCTGACAAGTGACAGCTTGACACGTGCAAGTAATCAGTCATACAATACCAGAGTACATTATGTACCTCGTCATCATAGAGTATGTTTGATATGAAGCCCTCTTCTTTCAGCCTGTCTACTTGATAGACACCTTCATTTATGAAGTTCTCAATATCTTCTTTTTTCTTCCCTGTATAGAATTAGCAGAAGCCCAGAAGTCAATTTATTGATTCAAGATTCAACTAGGACTTCAAACGCAAATGCACCTCTAGCAGAAGAGACTTTGTCCAGCCAATTTGTATGTATATTATCAAGCAATGCAGTCAGCATCTCACGATTGTCATCAGACATGGTTCTACGGGTCAGTTGATCTCCTGCGCTTTTATATTTGCCAATCCTTTCCACTTGCGGTTCAATTCCAAGGTTCTCAAAAACACCTGAAAGAAATAAAAAAAAGTTATGGATGGGAGAGTAAGTTGATACATTAGGTATTAGAATTACTTCTTAATAATTAACACAGCAAAATTTTTATGATTTTATTTAATAATTTAGCAGGGAGGCATACCACCATTACTGATGGTCAAACTTTGCTTAAAAAGATGCAAGGCAAAGCAGAACCAGCTTACCTCTGAGGAATGGGGCTTGAACAGCCAATCCAAACAGAGAAAAATTAGCGCTTGGAGGGGCATATATCTCTTCACACGCGCATGCAAGGTAATATTCCTTTTCTCTACACGAAGGGACATAAGCCACAACAAATTTTCCTACAAGAACCATCAACTATCAAAGCCTTCCATAAGTAACAGAGATCAGCACTATAGATCAAAATATTAGAGAATCCGATGAATAACAGAATATATCACCAATCATCATATTCAGTTATTCACTTGCGATATAATATAAACATCAGTTGCATCATAGCCTCAGAAAATAACATGCATCGGTGCTCAATGGAAAGAGAAAAAATACCGACTAGTGACTTAGGCAACAGAAGCATACTACTCACATGCAACTTTAATAATTAACATACATAAAGATCCATATAAAATAAATAAATAAATAACCTGATTTTTTGAAATTCAAGATGTGCCTTCGAATTTCTTCGAGTTTAGCCCAACCGCAATTTAAAGGATCAATATGGAGATAGATGCCAGAAATACGAGGATCATAGGCTGCTTTCAACAAATTCTCACAGATTTGTGGCAGACATAATCCCCGTGAGAACCTACTCTTCGGTTGATCGGATATCTAAAAAAATATGCGAAATCCACAGATAAATAAATAATGAAAAAAAAAAAAAAACTAGTGAGAACTGAGAAGCAAGGATGAACGACAAGGGGGAAACCTGGCCGCGCAACTTGATTGTCAAAACGCTGCCGTATCGTACACGCTCCCAAGGGAACGCTATTAGCATCCTGAGCTTGACAATAAATTTTTTCCAACCTGTAATTGGCTCGAAATCAAAGTCTCCACTCGGAAAATCCTCATCGTCACCAACCAAGCCTTGTTTAGGGTCGGAAGACGGAGATGGAGCTGAAGAATAATAATAAGAAGAATGGAAGTGGAAGGGAACTGTGGCGCGTGGGCGCGTAAAGTGTTTGGGATGTGAGAGGAAAGAAAAAGGGGAAGAGCGGCATTGGAATTGAAAGCGAGTAACTGAAAGTGAAGATGATGATGATAACGATGATAGGATTGGCGGCAATAAGCGGAAGCGGTGAATGACAATGCGAGTGTATGACATTTCTGTGACTTGGTCGCTTCTTCACGAAGTGCAAAATGTGGGAGGGAAACGCAAAGACTGCGTGGGGAAAAGCTCCAGAGTTCAGACTCCCTCCACGTCATCGTTCCTACGTGCGCTATTTATTTCTTCTCAATCACCGTTATCTTGAAAAATTCAAAAAATCTCATATTATTTTGCTTCGAATCATTTATCTTTTATGATTTTTGGGAAAGGATATTGTAACAATTAAGTTGTGTTATTATTATGTTACTACCAATCAATTTTACCGTTAGATCGATTATGTTGATCCAACGGTTATATTTATTTTTATTTTTGTATGATTATGATTCCCCATATTTAAAATGAAAGCATTAAATATGAGAAATCATAATCATACAAAGGTGAAAAAAAAATATAAAGTATTAAAATTTGGAAATATAACCATACAAAGATAAAAATAAATATAACCGTTGGATCAACATAATCGATCTAACAGTGAGATTGATTAGTAGTAACTTGGTAGTAACACAACTTGATTGTTACAATATCCTCCCCTATCATTTTTTCATCTAAATTCATTCTAAACGCTACTAGAAATTTAATTAAAGAAAATATTTCTCTAATATTACATAGAATAATATTATTTATACACACATAGAAAGTGGATGATATTCATATTTTTTTTCTTCTCCTTGGATCCAATCCACTTTTTTATGTGTTATATAGAATAATTTTATTGCATAGAACATGAGAAATATATTGGCTCTTTGACCTTTTTGCCCTTTATTAAATAATTAATAACTATTTTGTCCCTTATTCAGAACTATTTCGATTAACTTAAAGTTTTAATCGATTAAATGGTCAAAATAAACAAAAATGGTTGACTTGAAGATTTAATCGATTAAATCTTCAAGTTAATCGATTAAATCTTCATATCAACTTGTCACAAAAACCAAACATTCTTTTTAGAATTTCAGAAGCACAACTGGTCACAAAAACCAAACATTCCTTTTAGAATTCGATGATTTCCAGGAGTATCATTGCTTTTCATCCTTCTTCCCCTATAAATAGTGAATTTGAATTAATATTTGATCTGATAAACGAACCTTCACTACAGGTTTCCTCCAACTGCTGCTACTGTTAGTTCATCGCTTCTATTGGGTATATGTGGCCTTCCAGACACCATTTTTAGGGTCAGCCCTTTCATCTTTCAAAACCTAACATGTATATTTTTTGTCTGGTTCTAAGTGATTCAGTGAGTGAGTTACATCATTTTTATTCTTTTTTTTGTAGAATGCTGTGGAAATGGCTTTAGGTGATTCTGAGTGTTACCGGCATGAAAATCCTAACGCAAGATTGTCGTGTTTTTTTAACAAGGTATTTCTTTTTGCTCATGTTTCATTACATTACATCCAAACAAAACCAATGAATCATGGAAGACTAACTCAAGGCTGAGAATCCCTGTCCTTTTTTCTTCTTCTTTTTTGGTAATTGTTAAAGAAGCATACATAAATCATTTGAGTGGAATATGTTTATGCATTTTTGTTGTAAATCTGCTTCTGGAATTCTAAAAGGAATGTTTGGTTTTTGTGACAAGTTGATACGAAGATTTAATCGATTAACTCGAAGATTTAATCGATTAAATCTCCAAGTCAACTATTTTTGTCTATTTTGACCATTTAATCGATTAAATCTTCAAGTTAATCGATTAAAGAGGGGCAGATTGGTAGATAGTTCTGACTAAGAGATAAAATAGTTATTAATTATTTAATGAAGGACAAAATGGTCAAAAAACCGAAATATATTTCTCTTTAATTAATTAATTAATTTCACACTTTTTAGAAGAATAAAATAAATTAATGACAGAAAGCATACAATATTTACGTGAAAAATATTTAAAGTAGAAAATGAAAGTAGAATAAAAAAATAGTTTGGAAAGAAAAAATAAATATAAAGCCAAATATGTTAGAAATAGTCTTAATCAGAAATAATAAAATAGTATGAATATAAAAAAAGAAAAGAAAAATAAGATAAAAAAGAAATAGGTTTCCGATATATTTAATCTTATTTTTTATTATTTAGATATATTTTATCCTTTTTTCTTTTATTTTCATTTATTTCATTTTTAATCTTTTCTATCATTGTTAAAAGAAATAAAAATAAGATAAAAAAGAAATAGAAAAAATGAATCAATTTTGTAAAATTTCAATTTATTATTTTTTCAATTTTATTTCTGTTATCGGTTTATTTTCTTCTTTTTGATTTAGACATATTTAGACTTATTTTTTATTTTTTATCTTCAGTCTATTTTCTTCTTTTTGATTTAGAATATTTTATTTTTTACTTTTAGTATTATTATTATTTTGATAAACAATATTTTTTGTTACTATTGTAAGCTTTCAACATATATAGTCTTATTTTTTTATTTATTTTTCCTTAGTTTATTTTTTCTTTTTAATTTAGATATATTTTTTATATATTTTTGTCGGATTCCCTCTGTTGTCCACTATCTGACTCGCATCCATTGACATGTGTTCATCGGATTTGTTCTTGTTTTTCGGCGAAGCTCTCTTCTCTCTCTTTCTCCAGTAACCAAATCAAGTCATTGTTCTGGCTGCATCTCTTTCCTTCGGTCGTATCATCTTTTATTCTCCGACAGAATCTTGTTTCTTCCGGTAATGTTTTCTTCTTCTTTGTTGATTTATTATTTTGATTTTGATTTTCTTTTATAGCTTGTATTTGGCCAATTATTTTATTCTCACATATATTTGTGGTGTTATTCATGTCTGATTTGGCTTGTATTTGATTTATTTTTGCCATTGTTTGATTTTATTTTGGCTTCCCATTCAGGGGGAGCATTTATATCCGTTGTTGCCTGGTCCACGGATTATTCCAGTTACACTGACTCTGTCGGCTTGTATTCCAGTTGTAACATTATATGTTTCCTGGCCCTTCCTTGGCTGATGTCTATCTTAGCCCTTCCTTGGTAATGTCTTTTTCTTCCTTTGCTGATGTCCATTCCAGCACTGTCTCTTTACTAGCTCTTCAAACTGATGGTCATTCCAGTTGATTTGTTATCGATTTCTCCCACTTATATTCCGGAAGCTTCGTTTTAGTTTTCTTTTTTCCTAAGATGAAGTGTCCCTCCATCTTGAGGGGGAATATTCAAGATATAGATAATATTTTATTTTAGTTTATTATGTTTGTTATTTTTCTTTAGGGTGAGTTGTGGAGTTGTTACAATCTCCACTCGTTTATTTTGATATCATGCTTCTTAATCTTTCTTATTCAAGCTTATTGCTTATGATCTCTACCCTCCAGCTTGAGGGGGAGTGTTGGAAAGAATATTTTTATTATTTGTAAAAGTCCATTTCCTTATTTTATTAGGATTTAGGTTAGGTATGAGCTAAGCTCGTTAGTATTTCTTTATATATTGTACTCTTGTGAATCAATTCAATATACATATTTTATTAATGTTCCTCTCGTCTCTTGTTATTTTACATAAGACTTACACAAGTATAAATTGATAGTTGTTGTATATATTATATGGGTTTAGTGTGTGTACTTTTAAAAGATATAAGTTTATATTCTTTTACCCTTTCTAACTATGTACTCCGAGTAGTAAATAGTTATACTTATAATATGAAAGTTTTTCTCTCTCTCTCTACGTCAGCCGAGTCCTGAAAAGGAGAAGTTGTAGATCATGCTAAGGAAAAGCAAAAGAAGAGAATCCATAGCTCTTGTTGCTGGTTTCTTTGGCTAGCCAATCCGCACATGTGTAGCAAGCTCAAGGGACATGAGCAAAGGAAACAATCCAATTCCTTTCAAGTAAGACTCGAATCTTAGCTACCAGATAAGGCTTTCGAGTGTCATTACCAGTAATGGTAAGTAAGTTGACCACTTGAAGAGAGTTCTTTCTACGACAATCTTCCTCCATCCTCTGTTCCAACAAAAATTAAACCATGAAGAACAGCCCAGATTTCTGATTGCAGGTGGGAACAAGAACCCAAGAAATTGTTAAAACCACCTTGCCATGTACCATTGTAGTCTCTGAGGAGTCACCCAAAAGCAGCCTTTTCGTTACTCACAGCTCCATCAACATTTAGCTTTATAGTGTCATGCTCAGGACAGGTTCAAGAAGGTATGGCATTCACGTAAGAACAAATGGAAACCATGCAGGTTGTGTGGGATCTGCTCAAGGAAATCTGATTCAAGAAGGATGAGATGCAGAATTCAGGATTCGTGGGCCTTGAAAAATCTACACCATGAATCTCACAGTTTCTCCAATTATGGAGAAATGCTTCATTGTGATTCCTTAAATTTATAATACCAAGCCCACCAAATTCCTTAGGCAGGCTCACGCTCCTTTTATATATATATATATATATATATATATATATATATATATATATATATATATATATATATATATATTATCCATTGTTGTCTGTTAAAGCTCCAAACTAATTAAAATTAATCTATTATCCTTATTCAATTTATTTACCTTCCAAATTATTGTAACTAGATTAAAAATGCAATATTGCATATTCATTTCAAATAAAAATAAAAATAAAATACATAAAAAGTTCGAAAAAATTCTCTAAAAATATTTCTATTTAAACTTTTTACCATATAGAAGGATACTGTATTTTGGCTTCTAGAAGGAGACTATAGATATTTATAACATCATCAAGACTGATTGATCATTTTATCCCCATTTTAAAAATTATTATTATTTTTCTCATTCTCAATTTATATATCAATTTGTTTCTTTTCTTAAATTATATATATTTATTTGTACTCCTTTGACTAAAGTTCAGCCAATGTCAATACCAAACTAAATTACTCACTTCAGTAAATAGTTTATTTATTTGAGTAAGTGCTGATCAAATTTTGGTTAAATAAGAACAATTTGGTATATAATTTGAAAAGATGACAAAATGATAAATTATTTTAAAACAGATACAAAATCATGAATCACCATCAAGGTTATAAAATTATTTTAAAAAAATCAAATTAAAACAAATAATATTTCAAAAACTTTATATAACTCCGAATAATTTATA